TACATAAAATTGGAATGCATTTTTCAAAACAAAGCGAAGGTGTTTAATGCTTCCGACTAGGTAAATTCTTACTTCGTTAAATGGCCCAACCTTTCCTATTTGGCACGTTCATTAATCTTCATTGCCATTTGCTATAGTTCAAGTAAATTAATAATGATAATTACACACCTCTTTGATGTAATCAATATGGTTTTCGTTGTTTTTTCGAACTCAATCTCTTTTATGCCGAATTTTAAGTGTGAGGTGAAATCAATAACAATAAATCGACACTTCTAATTATTGACTTTCCAAATTTCTTTTCTCTGTTATCATTTTAGAAATGAATTACCACCCGATGTGTAGTAATTAAACTGAAAAAATGTGAAACCAATTGGTTTTATATGGCTAATTCGGGCACACATTATAATATTAATAGTTAATAATAAAATAATATTTGCACTAAACTATAAACTACTTAATGGAGCTTATCGGCACAAAAATGTATGAAACTAAAATTGCACCTCAGTTTGTCAATAAAGGTATCTTTCCTACTGTAAGAACTTAATACATGACCTTGAATCGCTCAAATGGATCGATAAAAATGGCCATGTGAGATATGCTTCAGACATAAATGAATGAACGTCTTTGCAAAGAAGTATATTTTAATAAATATTAGTCTTGCTTAAAAAATAACGTAGCTTGATTGTATGATTCTCAAAAAACAAACTTGAAAGATGTAAAATATTGGGTTTATTTGTGATATTTAAACGTCAGTTGATTAATTCTTCTAGGATTTTGCTAATAGAAATTTAATTATCACACACTCCGACATGCAAACTTTCGCGTATTTTAGAAATTTACTTATGCACAATTAAGTCCTCTGACTCATATGTCTACTTGGTCTCACATACGGACTCAATTCTAGTTGTCAGCTCGAAAGCAAATCCAAACATCCTAGCCCATAAACTCAAAATCATGGGGCAATCCTTGAGGTTTATGCGTGTAGACCTCCCCCTCACCAAACTTCCTCCCCTGCAATCAACAATTAGTTAACTTTATTTCCCGAATAATAATACGGCAAAAAATTCTATTAACCGGCCGTTGATTTCTAACTTCAAACTACCATCAACCCAATGTATGTCATATTCAACCCCTTCCATAGGACTCATCTTACCTTTTCTCTACCTTTGTGTCTGTCTGCCTCTTTTACATCAATGAACCACTCTCCTGTTTCCCACCCCTCGAGTTTCTGTTACTTTGATATTCCTCTCCTCTGTGAAGCTCGAAGTCAGCTAAAGGGTTAATGACAACTATCAAAACGCCTGCAATTTGAAATAAATAAATAAATTTCTAGTTCCTCTTATTAGGGAAGATTAAATTCAACTTGGTAGCCCAGCTCAGTCAGATTAGAGTAGAGTAACAGCACCTACTTCAAGACACATATAAGGCATATTCTAAGCGCCTTGAAATCAATTATTGGTTAAAAGGATTTGACAAGTGCTAGCTAAAAATACAAGTTCAAGTGCGAAGTGATTTGATCTACTACGTCTCAAGGTAATTAAAAGACACGAATTTCGCAAGATGGTATGAGCACCCACCTAATTAAGCATGTAATCACTTGGTTCGCGTCATCGCGAGAAGAGGGTGCATTTTATTGAGCTTCATTTGGCTTAAAACTTCTGTGATTATCACATCGTGATCCTAACCTGAGTCCTGGGTCAAATTGGATATAGACACACCCACCAGCAGTAAGTTCACTTCTATTCTCACCCAGTTTAACGTGCTGAACATCAAGCAGAATATGTTGGGACTCTCTGCTTTCCTTTAAGTTCTGATTTTCAGACTTATTTAGCTTTTATAAAGCGTATCTTCTAATCGCCTTTCATTACTGGCAGCTTCATTAGCCCCTTTCTTCATAATTAGAAAATTAATGATTATAAGTGTGATTGTTACGATATAGTTAAAATAAACGCAAATTTTGCGCTCAGTACTCAAAATAAATTTGTGCGATGCTCGAAAATTTTTATTTTGGATTTTGACTGCCACCTCCATTGTCACTTAGCCACTTAAATAAAATTGTTGAAAGTTCGCAATTACATCCACCCCCGCTCGCAGATCCAACGAATTATGTCATCACTGCAACTTTCAAAGATTATGGAGTTAACTATTAAGTTGATTGATTGAGTTAGTTGAAAGCAAATCTTTGAGGGCGTATTGAAAACCAAAACATCATCTGATCCATTAAAATCATATTCACTAAACTTACGTGCAATAGCGTTTTTGGATTTTATGCGTCGAAGGCGCCTTCTTGTCAATAATTAGGGCTACTCACAATGTGATGATTTTTTTTGTTTGAATTTCTAATTATTGTTAAAATTCTTACCTTGGGATGACTGAGCAGAACTGAATTTATGCTTGCTTACGTGTGGTGACGCTGCATTTTGCCCAGCGTGAACTCACTCTCATAAATAAGACTTATTCATTGTTAGGCATTTATTTTCTCTTCGCATTAACAATACTTACATACAGTAATCAATAGTTAAACAACTTAATTGATAGATAAACTTTCATTAGTGCGAAGATGACCCTATTTTGTAATTTGGGGTGTGTGATATACTTACCTCCATGTGGTGCATCCTGAGCAACGTATACTCATACGGCAAAAATATCTATCAGTCGGTAGTTGACTTCTGACTTCAAACTACCACCACCCCACTGTATCTCTTACCTTTTTTCTCCCTTTGTCTTTGAAACACATCAGTCCTCCCCCCCCTCCTCTCTCGACTTTTTTTGCACTTGGATATTCCTCCTCCTCTCTGTGAAGCCTGAAGTCAACTTAAGGGCTAATGATAACCACCAAGACGCCTGCCATTTGATATAAATAAATTAATTTTGTAATTTGGTCTTTTGTTGGCTTGTTGACATTTGAAAAGCGGTGTCGTACAAATTTGCTGTGGTATCAAATGGTGGATGTAGTCAGGTAGAAGACGACTTAGTAAGAGTAATGCGATTTTCATTCTGAATGTTGCAAAAATGTATCTATTTGGGATGAATTAGACGAAGAAACACGCATATATTTTATTAGGTACATCGAACATTTAGGCTTGACACCGATGGTGAAAATAAATACCAAGGAAAGCATAAATCCGAAGGAACCCAAACGGTAATTCGAATAGGGAAATCGGGTCAAAGGCTGGGAAAGTTCAGGTCAGAAGAGCTTAGTTCGGAACACTACAGCCAAAATTAATTAAATGCATAGAGCCTCTCGTCTGTTAAATTAATTTTACATTCAACTTAACAAGGCATCGTGTATGACTTAATTAAGGCAGTAGTAACGGAAGAATGTTGAATGAAAACAAAGACAGTGATTTTCTAAAGCAGCGTCAGTGAACAAACCAAAATGGAATCGCAGCTTTTCTCAACTGTATGAATAAGAAAATCGTGAGAATTAAGAAAACTATACGAGAAATCTATAAGCGACTCATTTTTCGACACCCGTTTACCTTACCATATTAAATTAATGCACCAAAATAATGCTAACGCATAAGTGAATCATCGATTTATTGGATCCACTATAATCACTCAATGGTGTAAATCTTTTCTTCTTCTTTTTCTACGATGGAATTAATTCAGCATTTTAAGTTTCTTACGTATCGTCAACCTTTTTGAATTGCTTCGCCACCCCTCCCTCATCCCTACAAGACTCATCAAATATGTGGAATTGGAGGAACCTTTAAACACCATTCAGTATTTAGTCGATGAAAATTTTTCCACTGGTTATTCCGTTTTGCGTCGCCCCAATTGCTAACTTGACAATTAAGCTTCCATAAAGCGAATCTTAAATTATCTCAGGCGGGGTGTGCGATAGACTTACCTCCACGTGGAGCACCCTGGGCAACGTATACTCATACGGCAAAAAAGTCTATACACCGGCATTTGACTTCTCACTTCAAACTACCATGACCCCAAAACCGGCAGTTGACTTCTGACTTCAAACTACCATGACCCCCTGGGCAACGTATACTCATACGGCAAAAAAGTCTATACACCGGCATTTGACTTCTCACTTCAAACTACCATGACCCCACTATATGTCATATTCGACTACTTCTACAGTGCTTACCTCACCTATTTCCTACCTTTGTGCTTGTCTCTTTCACATCTTTGAAGCACCCTTCTGTCTCGTAAAGATCTGTGACTCACTCTCCTGTTCACCCCCCCCCCTCTCGACATTTTTCACTTTAATGTTCCTTCCCCTCTGTAAAGCCTGAAGTCAACTAAGAGGCTAATGGTAACTATCAAAACGCCTGCCATTTGATATAAATAAATAAATTATCTCAGGCTTTAAGGTGACTGTGACACCCAGACTATCCTCATAGCGGGTCGGAAGTGTAAATAATTAATGACTATTAATAGTTGGACGCCAAGAGTAAAGCAAGAGTTTTTACTCGCGGTAGCATTTGTCCTATGACTAATTAGCCCCGCACAAAGCTTTGAGTTAATCATTAACCTCGTCAGCTTGACATTTGAACAAAGATCCTACAAACAGTTGGTCGACAAAGGCAAGTCATATGACGTAGGCTGCTAATAGGGCTAGGGCTCGTAATTTGGAAAAGCAACTCCGATTTCTTCAACATTGGAGACTAAGTTAGCTAAAGACCATCGTTATTAATTATGGAAGCGCACACCATATAACAGAATCAAAGCCTTATCATTTTAGCATTCTCACGGCAGGTACAAATTACGATTTTTTTGCTATAGTGGCTGACTCACCACAATTTAGTAATCTTCTCCTGATTACTCAAAAGATATTGTACATAATCCCTTTCTTTTGCCTTTAAGTAACAATTCGATTGTTCTCGGCTATGTAAAAGAGGTTAAAATTGCAATGCATACGCGGAACCCAACTGTGTACTTGTGTAAAATAGTAGAATTGGCATTCCAGGTACAGTTTCTGTTAGACACAAATAGTATTTAACAAAATAACTAATCGTTAATAAAATAATAATAAGAATTGGAATTCACACGCTGACGGATTGACAATCGCATCGACAAAGTCTCAGTTTGAACATAAGAGCGGCGGCAATTAGTATGAAGAGGATGAACTGAAAGCAATTTAGTACGAGGTGAGGATATTGTCCACTTTATTAAGATTAATTACACAGTACTTACTTGAATAAGGAGGATTCCTAGACATACAAGGGTAATAGTTTTCATCTCCATCCGAAGAACACTTTCTATTCTGCTCTTGCAACCAAATACCATACTCATTTGAACAAGATCACAACGACAATTTATGGAAGCAAAACTTCCACAGCATTCTTCTGGACAAATTCCTAAAAAACAAACACCCTACTTATTATTTTTTAAGTAAAACGATATTAGTATTTAAACTTTTCAGTACCCGGTGGCAGATAGCTAACCCTGAAATCCTGTGCTGAAATCATTCCACAGCATCGAACTCCATTGTTCTAAATAATGAAGAAGTATATTGAAAATGCCAGGGCAGTGGTAAAATAAAACTATTAGATTTACCGGTTGCATTATTAGAGACCAGATAACTGTTGAAAAACCACTACCACCGTTGAAAAAGCCTAGTAAAAATGAAAGGAACTTGGTTGCTGTTTGTATGAACTAAAAATTATGAATTTAACGTTACTAATTCCAAAGTTTTTTGTTGGATAATAAATAAATTCAATATTACTCACCAGATTTTGAGTACTAAACAGAATTAGTATTCCTATTCCCTCGAGAAACACCATGATTCCCAGAATTCCCGCATACTAAAATATGAAATATGGGTTGTTCTCACTTTTCTTTATTAATAATAAATTATGAACGGATATGCAAGAATTTCAAATAGATGTTAGCTTGATTTTGTAATATTGAATTTGAATAAAACGTGTGTTTACATATAAACGAGCATTTTAAATTGAAGTTGGAGATTCTGACAAGAAATATTTCAATTGTACTTTGTTATTTTAGATGAATTTGAAAAAGGACTATAATTTCAAATAAGAGGCTTCGCATGCTGCTATTTACTTAAACTGGCCATTTGGGAATCTACCATCCTCATTGATGGAGACAACACCAGACACCCAATTATAGATTTTGGGTCGCAAGTGTGATTTAAAACAAGGTGTCGGATTAAAGTGCATTTTAAGCAGCATAAATTGGGTCAATAAAGCAGAACCATGAGGTCAATGCTCATAATCTTAGAGTGAGCCAAGTGGTAGTACCTTAGAGACCACTATCAAGATGAAGTAGCTTTATACCATCTTCACCACACAACAGGATGATAAAAATAGTAGATGAGGCATTTTTAAGAAAGTGAAAGTTCGGTGAGTGAGAGAGATCCGTGAATCCGAGATCTAGGATTGACGTGCGCTCATAGTTGTCAATTTATGGTTGTTTGCGTAGAACAAAAAGAAAAGGCGATAAAGATTTGAGACTAAATAACCTTTCCGTTCTCAGTACAGCAGTAGAAAATTAGCCCACACCAATCAACTTAGTTGGTCTGATATAATTGTGCACCATCGATCGATGCACCAGCCAATCATAATGCAATTGTTTCTATCTTTCAACTACATTATTATCCTAGGCCATTTTAATTATAAGCGCAATAGTAAAGCCAGCCAGTATAAAAAATTTGAGGGTTGCTATTGAAAAAAATTTCAGATGATTGGTCAACGAGCCAATAATTGAATGAGACTTTGTATTCGTTGCTTACCTAGAGTAATTTGTATTTTCTTCAATGGTATCGCTTTCTATTGAAAGATTCTATTCTTCTCAGACAACTTACATTAAAGATAAAGAGAGGAGGAACGATGAATGCTAGCGCGAACAAAGAATGATATTTTAGGATCCGACAAGTGACACTATGGCAGTTAGGGTAGTTGAGGGTAAGAAACAAAAATTTGCTTCGATATTAATTTAGATATTGATTTTGTCCTTTTTCACGTTAAAAGATATATGCTAGCATTTTCCGAATAGATGCAATTTTGGTGTAGGTATGAAGCTTTAGACAAATCTACCAAAAAATTCCCAGCCGCAGGAGATGTGTGTCGTGAATGAATTTACTATGACATTCAACTCTAAAGCAGTATGAAAATCTCTTCTCGAAATTTCAATTATCCTTCCTGATATCTTTCAATGGCTCCCAATTACAGCGGTCTTCACTTCTCAATTGCCTTGTTACCTAATGAAACATAGATAATACAGAAATTAATCTCCTAGTGAAATATATCAATTCTGTTGTAAATAAACAAAAATTTCATGAATTGTCTAGCAATGGAGGACCTTAATTATTCAAAGATGGAATGATAGGAATGTTTAAAATTAAAAAAATACAAAAAAACGTTAGTATAAACCATTCAAGCCTAATCACTAAAATAATGATAATATATACCCTAAAATTATTCATAAAAAAGAAAAGGTAAATAACTTGAACCATTTAAAGAAAAATATTGAACGAAAAGACATTTCAATTCTTCAGAAACGAAAAATATATATAACTTTCTAAGTGCATTGTGCACCTCAAATTAAGGAGAGCATATTTAGATGTTGTGTGCGATAGACTTACCTCCACGTGGTGCAACCTGGGCAACGTATATTCATAGGGCAAAAAAGTCTATTAATCGGCTTTCGTTATATTCATACGGCAAAAAGTCTATTAACTGGCAGTTAACTACGATAGACTTACCTCCACGTGGTGCACCCTGGGCAACGTACTTTCTTACGGCAAAAATTCTATCACTCGGCATTCGTTTTTCAATAGACTTACCTCCACGTGGTGCAACCTGGGCAACGTATATTCATAGGGCAAAAAAGTCTATTAATCGGCAGTTGACTTCTGATTTCAAACTACCATCACTCCACTGTATGTCATATTCGACTAATTTCACAGTACTCATCTTACCTTTTCTCTTTCTTTGTGTCTGCCTGTCTCTTTTACATCTGTTAATCATTATTCTGTCCCCCTCCCTCTCTTGACTTTTTGTCACTTTCATGTTCCTCCTACTCTCTGGGTAGCCCAAAGTTAGCTAAAGGGCTAATGATAACTATCAAAACGCCTGGCATTTGAGATAAATAATTAAATAAATATTTCCTCAGATTATGCAATTCAATAAAATAATTTTTACTCCATTTATCCTGAAAATAGAACGAAGTTTGATTAAAAAATAGATTACAGAAGAAAAGCTCACTTCTTGGAAAGAAGAAGACATCGACTTCTCAAAAGGTTCAAAATCTTTCCCAGCGCAGAGTAATATGATCATGTTTAGAATTTCCTATGAACTGTCTGCTAGGTTTACTCTGCCTCTCAACCTAGAGCGTACAGGCTGACTTCATTGGGTAATGACCCTCGGTCAAACAAGTCACAGACAGGGTAAAATAGGGAGGTGAATTGGAGTCTACTTTACTTCACTTGACGAATATTGTAGTGTAGACGCTCCACTGATTCCACCAAATTCCTTTATTCACACCTGCCTCCCTTCCCCACACTCAACCTGGTTATCCAACCACTTACCTGTTTCCTAACTTTGGTAGATCAGTAAAAGAGCGTTTCTTTGGTTCAAAGGTATATGGGCTCAAGTAAGAACGTACAAAGGCCGGAATTAAATTTCTGAATGAAAGAAAAATGTTAAATTTGGGTCTTTTTTACACTACGTACTACACCTCAGCACTCTCTACGGGCTACTACATTGAGAATTAATTAAATAATAAAAAAGATATATGTATATATTTGCATATAATTACAAGATGGAACTCACGATTCGTTGTAGGAGAAAACTGCCGCAACAAACGAGTATGCAAGCAATGATGCATAGGCAGAAGCAGATACTTCCAAATAGCACACAAACATTTGAAAGTTCCTCTACAAAATACAGGCAAATTTCGTAGTAAAATTCAAGGCAATTAGGGCCGATCATGGCATTTTAAAGTCCCGAACGACCCATGTCTCCGAACAAAAATAAGCGTTGAGTTAGGTATCGATTAAGATTAAAGTCAATGTTTTATTTGGGTGTGGGATAGACTCACCTCCACGTGGTGCATCCCGGGCAACGTATACTCGTTCGCCAAAAAGTCTATAAAACGGTAATTGACTTCTGACTTATAACTACCATGACCCCACTGTATGTCATATTCGACTACTTTCACAGCACTCACCTTACCGTTACCCCTACCTTTGTGTCTATCTCTTTTACATCTGGGAATCACTCTTCAGTTCTCCCTCCCGAATTTTTCTCACTTTGATATTCCTCCCCTCTGTGAAGCCTGAAGTCAACCAAAGTGCTGATGATGACTATCAAAACGTCTCCCATTCGATATAAATAAATGTTTTATTTGAATTTGCATTCAACTACCTTTAAAATTCCGTTTCTTTGAGATAAAAACCTGTAAATTCGATATGGGTAAATAATTGTCAATGCAATATTTAGTGATGAGGTAGTGGAGTAAATTTGAGGATTCTGTTCATGAAATAATTATTTTACAAATGTCATCTTCGTACTTAAAGCTCCAGTCCCCGCTTTCGCGGGGGGGGGG